TGTAAAATTATTTTTGTATGTAGTTCAAAAAATATTTTTTCTCTAAAGATAATTGTCATGAAATTTCATTGACAGTAGAACAATTTAGGAAAACTCAAGTAGCTTCAATTTAAAAATAAAAATATGTTTCTTACGAAACACTTTCTTCTTTCAATTCGCAATTAGAATTTCGACATATCTATTTCTGTTTAAATGGCCTTATAAATCATAATACAAAAAATTGCATATAATAAAAAGTATTAATTACACTTCATTTTACTTTTATCGTCAGTATAAGCAATAATCGTCTTATTAATTTCTTAGCGCGCGTATCGCGGAATCTTGTTCAATGCACTCAAGTCGATTGTGTATTAAGCAGACGCGCGAGTTAGGTCACGGACTGCAATCCAGCTTGTACTTATTAATTTAATCATAAATCAATCAACGCGTCGCGCATCACGACCTATGTGCGCACGATAACTAGCAAATGTTCAAGTAAGAGCGATATTAATATTCATGTTTCTGGTCGCATCCGACGTTGTAATCCCTGTTAGGAAAATTACCGGCCAGCGGCAATATAGATAAGTTTTCAATAATTTATCTACGTAAATTGTAACTTTATGTAACTCGGAACTATGTGTTTCCCCCGCGCTATGCAACATGTAACTATCATTTAAATTTAATGGATATCTTTGTATACGTCTGACTGTTACGAGTGAATCATTTCTCAATGATAACAAACTTCATAATTGAATGTCTCAGCAGAAGATGCAAAGTGCCAGGATTTAAAGACACATTCTTTCAGTGAACTGTAAGCTAATTATAATGAATCATTACAAAATTATTAAAAGAAATCCAGCTGTGATAAAAATTGAACAAAAGATGTATAAATATAATGAAGAAAACTTCTTCAAAGGGAATAATTATTTTTACAAAAAAATATAAAAGAAAATTGCGATTCTGTGTGCGGCGAGCGAGCTTCCGGTTTTGCCGTTCGAGCTGCTACCCGCAGCTTCGCCAGCTATCTCTCTTTCTCTCTTTTTCTTGGCGTTCTTCCGACACCAAGAGATGGCAGCTCGGTTACAGCCGCAATGCAACGCGCGTATTTGTATCCGACGATGACAAAACGTCGTATCAAAGTTAAGAATACGACAGCCACACGGACGGGGATTACGCGGCCACTCGTCCGCTTGCTATACTCTTTATAACCCGTGCATGCAGATGATAACCTATGTACATACATATCGCAGTCGTCTGCCAGCCAGCGACAACGGCGTCGTCACCGGAAACCACTGGTGGCCAGCCAGTCAGCCGGATACCTTCATGTCAGAGCGATACAAGTCATCACGCGCGCACAAAATGTCTCATGATTTTTTCTCAGAATTTACATTATGATTTATGCTAAATATATCTACGTTATTTTCGCTCCGAATTATCAATCTAATCAGCAGGTTTGTAATATGTGATATATTTGGATATTGTTGTAGTATTCGAATGTACACGGCATTTAAAGGAATTTATAAAATTAATAAAATCAAGAAATCAATGCAATTACGAAGTAAGAAAATTAATAAATCAAATTGATAAAAATATATTTTGTGCCATCGAAAACGCTTTAAAATTTCTTTACGTTTGTTTTAATAGCACATGCTTAAAAAAATAGTATTTCTGTAATTAATAATTATATGATTCGATCTTGACGAATAAAACATTACATATTTATAAGATTTGCGAGTATATCTAAGCTTACGCCAATGAATGCAGCCAACTCCCCGTTTTGTCTTCTTACTATCTGCTTACGAAGTTTGTAAACATCTCCACGGCGAATCCTTCTCGCAGAAGAGATTTAATTGCGCGCGTTGCCGCGTCGCGTCCATGCTACCGCTGGCTCGCCGTTCGCGGTTTCGCAATGAGGAAGTATCGCGGGGAGGATCCGCATTAATCAGAAATCAATCCGCGTCTCGACCGGACAAAGGAGGAAAGTAGCTCTGGCTCGCGCCTGGCGCGACGAGGAACTGAGAATGTCTTGCGCGCGACCGCGCCTCGTTTTTATTCAATTTACATAAGAACGAAAATTTAATATTTTTCCAGCCAAGTTTCTTCGCGAAACCTATTTTAACCGATTGATCTGAGTAATCGCGGTGTAAAGATAGTAAATGCGTTAGATCAAATTACAACAAAATTATATTTAAAATTTACAATATTATTTTTTTAAAGAATTTTAGCGATTTATTGAAAAAAAAATTTAAAATACTATAAAATCGCGCTATTTTTCTGCTGATAATTCTTATTTAATTATTATACAATTGAATAAAAAAAATTCCACTAAAATTTTATATCAATTTAATAAGAAAAAGGTATTGCAATATATTCAAGCATCTATTATCAACGCTAGTTTCAACCTATAAATAAGCGCGCCTCTTTCACGCTCGTGAAGAATATATTAGCAATTTTTTAAATATCTTAACACGCGGGGTCGTCTCGTAATCCATAATGGAAATCTCACATAATTTCATACGAATTTAAATTTTTACATCACGCAAAAATGATTTATACATACTATATATTTATATTTCGTAATAACGAAATGAAACAATCTTTTTCGCGCACGATATCATTGGAAATTGAATTCGCAAACAGATTTACGATTTCAGTTCTTGCTTTATAACGCTACTTGAATGTGCGTGGTATATCGCAGAAAATTTGAGAAAGAGAAAGAGAGCCGGTTTCGCCTGATGGCGGTGCCCGCACAAGACTCGTGGAAATCTTGCGAAAGCCGCGAGCAGGTTGGGTATTACGCGCGCGAGCTCGTCCGCGCTTGCTCGCTCATTCGCTCGTTCGCTCGCTCGCGTTATGTAAATGATAACGCGCAACTTCCTCAATAACGATTAAGAAATACGAGCGGTTCCTACCGGGAGCGGGGGGGAGGGGAGACGGGTTGGTTTACGTAAACGTTTCCGTACACGGCTAGCGGCATGTTAGATTCCATCGATCTGTCGCGAAGTGACGCGCGTGTAGGCGATTTCGTCTTTAACGCCGTCATCGTCGTCGTTCCGGCAGAAATTGCTTAAAGGCCCATTTAAGGTGAAACGATTTTCGCGCGATAAGATTGCGTTTGAATATTTCAACACCCGCGAGAGATATTTGAATGCCGGTTCACTTCCGTGTATCTATACGATGTATTTGTGCATTGAAAATATTTCGAACTTAACAGGAAAGTAAGTAACGCAATCTTACATAATAGGTAAATATAAAATATATTGCAGTATCCATATCTAGTATGCGGCAATGCAAAAATAAGGCTCGTTTAATTTTGTATAGCTGTTTTAAACCTGTTCGTCTTATATAAAAAGGTAAGACTTATATGAATCATGTGGAGAAGACTATCGTACCAGGAAATAGCTTCAAGAAGTAGCTTAAGTATCTTAAAAGTAGCTTAAGCACTATCTTGATTTATCCAATATGATTACACCTTATATATAACTACATAACTGCACCTAATTCTATACAATCGCATAAATGACACCCATTTAAAACTACACCAAGATATATTCCAATAATTGTCAATTATCATTTTGAAGTAAATCATCGCGTGACTAGATCAAAACTGGTTTTATAAGGCCGACAATAAAATTACAATATTATTATATCATCATATTTATTACTCGGATTCGAAAAGTTCAATCAGTAAAAGTGATTTTGAGTGCAATTTCGTTTTCTTCGCGACAAGAATTCGCGATAATAATCGGATCACTTCCTTCCGCGCAATTCCGTGCATTTGCATTCTGCATTCGAAACAACCAAGGCGACGCGCTATTTACTTTCCCGATGTTCCGCATAACAAAGTCGCGAGGAGAACGGTTGACGTCAGCGACTCGCGTTAATTGAATTCCGCACGACCGGTTATTAACATCGCCGAGCGGATTAAAGCGAGGCCGGGCTTTTAGCGGATTTCCGGGTTGCACATCGCGCCGTACCGGCATTAACTCTCTTCGTACTCACAATCATAACGAGCTGCGCTTCGCTCCGAATCTCTCGAATACAACAAGAGAATCGAGGGAGAACGAAAATCGAGACCAACTTCGTTAAATGCTTGACCTTTCGCGTACAGACTTAATAGTTGCGAAACACTACAAAACGTAAGACGAATTGTAAGTTTCAAGGAATAAAATACAAAATGTCAAATGTAAAGAAAACAATTCTGATAACATTTCTGTAAACTTGATTAAATTTGAAATGGCAGATAAAATACGAGAAACTATTCAAGTTTAAAATACGAGAAACTATTCAAGTTTAAAATTTTAAACTTGCAATTACAAAAATAAATTGTTAGTACTTCTAAGTGTATGGAATTGTACACTATCCATGAAACAAACATACTGAATCTATAAATTTTTCACTAATGTTGTTTGCTATGGAAAACACTGATATTAAAATCATTACAGAAATAACTGTATTTTAATAAATGTTAATCAATTATTGAATACTTTTGCGTAAAGTGTAAAAATTAATGTTTAGCTCTTATGTAAATAATATCAGAAGAGTACGTATATTTCAGATGTCATTAAACTTGTGGAAGATTTTATATGAGAATCAAATATTTAAACATCAAGGAATTAAAACTAACTCAATTTTTGATCGTTCGAATTTGTCTTTAATTGCCTGGTTTAAATCCTCAGTAAAATGTGTTCACTCATCGTTAAATGCGACAAAACGAAGCATGTAATAAATTATCATAAATGCTGCTCACGGATGTGTGTAAAACGCGAAATTCGTAAACCGTGAACTTTATAATTCCGGAAAGAGAAAAACGACGTTCCGCGAAACGCAATGACGGCAGTTTGTTTACAATGAGGAATTGAAAGAAACACCGAGTGCAAGTATACGCACGCACCCGTAACAGACACACGTAAACACATTACGCGCACATACACTAGGATGCCGTCGACATAGCTCGGGGAACGTTGAATTTATTTTCGCAAAATGCGCGCAATACGCGAAAAACTGTGCGGATCAATTACCTCGATCACTGCCTTTGCTTGGCTTCGCTGTCGGTTGCAGCGTCTTGTCGATAAAATCCTTCGCCGGGAACTGAGCTGTTGTAATATCACTGGCCGTCGTCGTCCAACCAGACACAAACTGTTCCACCGTTCATCGGACAGCGAATTGTCGTCGCTCCTCGTGGTGCACACACGCACGGAGCGGCACGCGCGCGTAATCAGGTCGCGGCGAGTGACATCCGCGTGCGAGAGAGACGGAAATGCTGTCCGGCGAACTTCTTGTCGCGAACACGTGAGAAGGGTTATGTCGCGATTATCGGCCGCGGTGACTTAGCGCTTCGTACGCGTATCACAGAAGAAACGCGAGAATCCTCGGTTATTAGCACTCACCGAGCACTTGTGTCACTTGGTCTTTAGCTCCTGTTTGTCACTCGTACTGCTTCCTTCTCGCTCCGAAAGACCGGCGATAAAGACAACGAGGAAGACGATGCAGAGACGAGATGCGAAACTCAAAGCGCGTATGATTTACAACAACCTTCATGTGAATCTGCTTCGCCGGGACGAGAGAGAGAGAGAAAGATCGCTCTCGTCGATTGAAGCTCGTCGAACGGCAACGCGCAGCAACTAGCAACTTAGTACCATCGCGTTTCGACGTCCGCGAACAACTGAGCTCACCGCTCGCCGTTCTAGGAAATGCCGAGTGAAATGCCTGCGATCATACGCGCCTCCACACCCCGCTAGTAGATAGCAGGACGAAGCAGTTGACCAATCGCAGGCCGTTTGCCGTAACGCAGATAACAGCGCCAGCACGCGGAAGTATATCGAACCGCCGTCATGCGGTTGAGTGGGGGATAAAACGCTGCAAAGCGCGCACAAGGAGAGAGAAAGAGCGAACGAGAGAAAAAGACCTGCTGACTTCTCGTAGCTTCCTCATATCGCAATCGTGATTGTCGTCAAGTTAACCCCGGCTGATTGTTTCCACTTGCACGCACAACGTGGAACGCCTTGATGGAACAGTCAAGACAGTAGCCTCACGGTGACTTTTCGTTTATTTACTTCCTTTTCGGAACTAATTTACACCGATCGTCTGATATGTGTACCGAAAATGTATTCCTATTGAATTCGTACTATACGAATACGATATATTATTCATCGAATTAAGCCAATTGATCATGTATAATACGATATTGATCGAATATAATACGCGTATCAAGATGATCGTTGTAAAATAGCTTTCTATACTTTAAACCTTAAACATGAATTTGCTTGCGAGAAGTTTGCAGCACTTTTTGCGCGAACGTGACTCGCGAGAATATTCATGTTATTGACATCGACCGATCAATGAAAAATTGCAAATTACTAACAACAGTCAACTTTTTATTCTCATCACACGATTTACTTGCAAATGGACACAAGATCTATTTTGAGAAACAAATTTTTTACGGTTAACGCACGGTAAGAGAAATATTTGTTGCATTTATATTATATAATTCTTAGGTCTTTCGTTGTCAATATTTTTCTAACCTCTCAATCGTCATTCGAACATTTTATCGAAACATACTTGCCTAATTATCAGAATTTTATATTCATATATCAAAATAATACATTTTTGATAGTGTATCTTTTCCTATATATTCAACACTAATGCTAAACATATTCGATCTATAGCAAATGTATTTCTTATATCATTTACTTTGCCTTCCATCGCATATTGTCATAAATATCTAACATAAAGCAAGTAATAAAAGTTTGATTATACTTTACTATGCAGATAAATAGACGTTATAATTCTCACGATATCGCAAATAAATCAATACAATCAACATTACTCATTCAATACAATCATACACTCATACAATCATTTTTTTACTTGTAGAAAATTGCGTTAATACTAAAAAAAAGGATTTACTAATGAATTTCTTGATAAGATGCTAAATCAGAACAAAAAGTGATTGAAGCTAATGATCACTGAATGATTCGCATAAATGATAATGGCTTGCTACGTCAATCGTGTCTTATTCTACAGTATGATATAAATCATAAATGAAGTGAGTAAACAAATCTTTATCGCAATAAACAAAAGCGAGAGTTGTTAAATGCTTATAAAAAAGAAAAATTTTAAATCAGTTCAGAGTATTTTTATATATTGATTGAATTATTAACAAATAATAATTTTTTACGTAAACAGATAATTATTTATTGCCGAAATATAAATTTGGCGATATCGAAATTGATCATCCTATCGATAATAACAATACGAATTTAATAATTGTTCAAATTTTGAGCTTGTCACAATAAAATTATTTATTTTAAACATTTTCAAATGCCTCGATAATAAAATTAGAAACAATCTTAAATCATTTTTATCTAAGTCTTTTAAATGAGATAATTGCTGTTTTTGCGCACCTAAATATTTGCATGTTCTTTATTCGTTATTTACACAATATGCAAAAGCACGATCAACAACTGGTTATTTTGCAAATTCGTTTGCGACATAGCAAAACTCAGCGAAACGCGTCGCTTTCAACTTCGTGTAAGAAAAAAGTGACATTGGATCGTAGAGGAAAATGCTTGTTAAGGCAATATTTATAGAGATGTAGAGAAGGATGAGAGAAACACAAGCAATAGATAACATTAACAAGATATAAAAATCTTTTACGAGTTAAATTGTTTGCTATTCGCTAACATAATATCGAATAGTCGCAATAAATCTCTAATATTATTATATATAATATATTTCTATTACTATTATATGTAGTATATTTCTAATATTATTTTCTACTGTTGCTACTAAAATTATTATGAAAATAGCAATAAAAATTACTTTTAAAAAATTTACAAATTATAAATTATATTATTAAAATTGCAATTGAGAATATATTTGCAAAATTCAATTAAGACATGAAATTTTCAAAATGCATCTTTATTATTATAAATTAAAAATTTATTATATTATAATTTATAATATTTTATAATACGTAATAATGGGTGGCACCGGAGGATCATCTTATCCGTTAAGAATATTTTTCCGTGTATATTTTAGTGCATGTGGTTTGCATTTTATATTAATAGCAAAAGATTGTCCAAAAGGCAAAAGAAGATACGCGGCATTGCCGTGATAAATTTCAATCGCGTTGTTGTTGACCTGGTCGAACTTATTAATCCGCTATAATCTCGAGCAAACAAGTCTTTCTTCTCCCTTCCTCTTTCGCGGAACGATCCCACTACCACTGCTGTTCTCTGGCCTTATCTTAATCGCGGCAAAACACGAAAAAGTACCACAATGCATTGCCACGCGCGATGCACGTGGACTGGGCTGTAATTTCTACCCTCCCTTTATCACATTTTTTATTGCGACAGATAAAATCGGTATCTGATTTATATCAGAATGGTTTCTTTTGATTAGTCTAGAGTTCATTTCTCTTAATTAAAACATTGTTGCATCTTGATAGCTTCCGAGTTGTAATCGCAAATGAAGAATACATTTAGTTATCAGGAAATCTTTGCTGTCCACCAAAATAAACTTAACTTTTCTACAAAAAAGCATTAAGATGATTTGTAATGGCACATGGTAACGCATTCGCTGCCCGTTAATCTATGTTAAACTCTGACCTTGTCGTGATAACGAACCTAATTTTCGTCCCGTGCGCGCATTATCAGCTGTGCATAATCTTTCACTTGTTCCTCGGTTTTCGTCTACTTTCTTTTATTCTCACGAAAAGTTTTCTAACAACCGGCGGAATTTACTAAGCTGGAAGTTTTAGTTTAGTTTTCCAATAGTTAAGATGTTTTAGATTAAAAATAAACATAATAATTGAAATATTATATAGTTTTCTGTTTAGTAAGAAATGAATCAATATATATTTACGAAGCATATTGACTTTCGACAATTAAAGACAACAAATCATTGTTTTTATGTTAGTTACATAGTTCCTTGATTTATTAAAAAAATTTTTCAAAATTAATTAAAATTATCTGACATCGCTAAAATGAATTTAAGATAAAAAATCTCAATTTTTATAAATTTATTCATAAAATTTCACTATTACTTATATATTGTATAGTATTTTACAATACGCATAAAATTCACGTATTAATACATGTTTCCTATATGAGTTTCAAAAATAGATTTAAAAAATTGAAATTACATATTCAAATTTATCATACTTTTTCTGAAAAATATAAGATTACATGTTGATGTCTCGAACATATCTATCATATTTCAAAATTCCTTCCGTACTCGAAGTTCTCCAAAATTTTATATTGTACACGACGCGACAAACGAAGACGAAAAGAAATCGTCACCGTAGAGCTCGTTTAAGATAATCGCGCGATGTATTCTTAGAAAAAATGCACAATATACCAAAATTATTGATATCGCATCAACATAGAAAATCGCTGATATTTATATGAATTCAGAACAAGCAGGTAAAACAGGTTTCTCTGCGCTACCTGCATCCATAATCTCTCGGGCTTGCCTTCTCTTTCGGGTCTACTTCTTCTTTTTCTTTTCTTTTTTGGGTTTCTACTCTTTTTTTACTTTTTTTTCTACTCTCCCACCATTAGCTCACCTAACAACCAAAATACCAAAGCCTGTTAAAAGGATTGCAAAAACAAAAAACAAAAATTTTAGGGGACAGAGCAAGGAATCAGAATTTTCTATCGTAGCAAATATTCTGCGCATATTTTGAAATATTTACGCGCGTCCAAAACTAAGCAGTTTCGCGAAAAATACTTAATTTCAAAACTCTCTCGATATGTTTATGTAAGCGATAAGAACAAACGTATTAAAGATTTATCAAACACAATAGAGTTTCGAAAAACACGTAATTAATTTCGAAAATTATTTTAAAAATATGAGATAAAAATAAAAATAATGTATCTTGTATCCAATGCTCATTAAACTTCCAGCTTATTATAGGTTCTCCAATATTGTATATTGAATTTCCGAAACTTTTTCGTCTTGTATGAAAGCAACTTATTTAAAAATTTGCTCATTATTGATAAAATGTCAAACAGAAGTCTGAATTTGATTGAAATTGGAAATGAGAATATTTAACATAGGATTAAGTATAGTGATTTTTTAAATTTTTTTTCAAAAGATAAAGTCTTTTCATACGTTATACTTTTATATTATATACTATATCATATTTCTGTGTTATTGTACAAAAAATTATTGTGCAAATATTTGATTCCGCATATTTTTATTTTATTTGTATTAATTAAAACGCATATTGAAGAAATTTTTATTACGAATTATTAGTCTTTTATATCATCGTGTATTTCTTTCATGCTTTCTTTTTAACAAAAGCTTATTACACTTGCATAAATAATAGTATTCGACAAGTTAGAACATGCAGGACTATAATACGCTTGGACAGATCATTAACTTTTAATGGCGATTCTTTAGAAGTTAGAAAGAACACGTACTTACCACTTGGTTCCTTCGAGTAAATTCTACGCATTATTATAGTTTTTAAATTTTAACGATAATTTTGCTAAAGGATTTTAACTGCGCAAAAGAGGGTAAATGACGCAAAATTGCCGTGCTGAAACCGAGATTTTACGACATACGAAAGTCCTGCAATTTCGGACGTATGCAAAGTGACCGAAAGAAAAGGAAGCGATCGAGAGAGACAAAGTCCTACCGATTATTTGTCGCCTACAATTATCTCTAACCGGTTAGTAATTATCTTTCGTTAAAGTTCGAATTCTCGTCGAGACCTGGATCGCATATTTCACGAAATTCTCTGAAGCATCAGGATTTGTAACGTAACTAAAGCACTACGACATGATTTATATCCACTCTTTGAAGAACAGGAATGTTTAGTTAGTTCAGAGGCACTCATACTTCCCATAAAAAAGTTTTTGATAGTGTTTATAAACAAATAAGGTATAATTATAAACAATTAATATTAATAGGAGCGTTTTATAATTATAAATTTCTGATTGTAATACTCTATATAGTCATTTGTGATTACGTTCATGATGTTAAAATATTTATGCTCGTGATAGAATCTCTCTGAAAATCATATT